AACCAAGAGAGAGAAATGTTGGTCGTTTTATCCAGACAGGATCGTTGGTTCCACAGTCGAGAACAAGAAACGAGACGCATTAAGAGTTAAAGAGCGCAGAAAGACACTGGAGAGTCCTTCTCGATTGCACTTCCCCCATTTTTACCCGTAATTGCTACGATCGCGTGCAATCGAGAGCACTCTGGTTCGTGAGGCGGCAGCATCGACATCCACGAACGAACGGATTACTTTTTCTCTCTCTCTCTCTCTCTGTGTATGTGTCTCTTTTTTATCTGTGTGTGTTGCAATTCGATTCGCAATAGTTCCTCCTCTCCGAATCAAACGCAAAAGTGTCTACACACACACACATACGTATATATATATGTATAAAGAAGAAGATTTAAGTTCAGACGGAGAGAACAAATTTCGCCAGTCTATCTCTCATCTTTCTTTTTTTTTTTTGTTTTTCATCTCTGACACGTTTGTATGCTACAATAATGAGTGTGTGTATGTGTATGTATATTGTGGTAAAGCGTTTCGAATTGCTCGTATCGCATAAATAATCCCTGACAAAAGACAATACAGCTCACTCGTGCAGTTCTCTCTCGCAATTAAATTCTCTCTCTCTCTCTCTCTCTCTCTCTCTTTCGAGCGAATCAATTATCGCCGATGTTGAACGTGCAATTACAGAACGAGGTATTGGTAACACGCGAGCGAAATCAATCGAAACGCGATTATAATGGCTTCGAAGACGAATATTCGAGCGCATTTCATCACACTAGAACTCTTTCTCTTTCGTTAATGTAATATATGTACAAGTAAAAGATTTCTCCATCGAACCGTTCGTCATTCCTTCCAACGACGCGCGATTCTCGCCGATCACAAAAAATAATGAAACTTCGATTACGCTAATGCCACACACCGACAATATATATGTACAGAAAATTATAAACAGAGCAATATTATCGTATATATTTATATATGTATATATAATACCCTCGAGAACGTTACTCGCTATATTCAATATATCGTTAGTAAATTCTTAGATATGGTTGTTCCAGGCTCGAAAGCTGCCACGCGTCGCACCTACTTCCGTGTACCATTATTCGCTTCTATCTCCGAAGAGATCGTTCGGTTCGCCTGGAGGGATTAAGATTTCTGTAGAGCGCAATTGAGATCAGTCGAATTGTATTGTACGACGAAACGAAGCGTTCTCCTGTGTTTAATCAGTTTTTCCAGCGATTCTATATGTCGTCTAGTGCTACCAGAGCAGTTAAAATTGATTTGTGTGTGTTTGAAAAAAACAGAATTCAATTTCTGCGAAATTTCTCATGATTTTGGTGTTTCTTTTTTTTTTAAACTGATCATTTTTATCGCTCTATAATGTCTAGAATGTCGTACATTACAAATCGACACAGGTTAACGTTGAATTACAAAGAGACGATAATTTATCTCCCCTTCGACAATTACCATCCTCCTTCCGTACAATGGAGCGCGTGCTCAGCTTTCGACCTGTACGCGATAGTCCCTTTTACAGTAAAAATATATTATCGCTACGGTAGTACTTAAACTTTTGACTAGCATGTGTTTATAGAACCGATTCCCAATCCTACGTAAACTACTAGAATCGATACACGCGTTTTAACATAATAATCACGTCTAATCGAGAGGTTCCGCTCATTTCTCATCGAGTATAATAATAATAAATCATCTCGACATTTTTGGGAATCATCGAGTGCGACGAGATGCAACAGAGTTGCGTTAAAAAAAAAAAGTTCGCACCTCTGTTGTACACCTTAAATATTACACAATTAATTTCCACTTGAAAGTGTTTTTACGGGGTACAGTGTCGGCATTTTTTAATCCTTAAAGAGTATACCTTTCCTTTCTCTTCTCTCGTTTTTAAATAAACCTTCCTCTGTGTCGGGGACTCTACGATCCACGCGAGAGAAGTATAAAGGTCGATCGAAGATCTTCCTGCTTTTCTCTTCCTTTCTCTCTTCACGTTCTATTATAAACTCTACTAGCTCGGATAACTCTTGATTTCCTCGATTAACTCGAGTAGGGCCATTACTTCGTGTCGTGTGTTCTATATAAATCGTTCGCACACGGAGGATACGAATGTAGTTAAGTCTCGTTTTAATTGTACAATTAAGCATACGAAATTCGGAGAGTTTTGGACAGAGGCTTGGTAGAACATTTTGGTAGATTTCACCAAGCTGGAGAAATTGTTGCAGATACAATTTTCCCATTCGATATCGTAGAAGACACGGAACACGTTCGACGCGCGCGCGGAATGCAGAGTAGAAAATTAAGTAGAGTGATCTCTTCACCCCGGATCGAGAAATAGTTTCGGTGTTGATCGAGACAAAATAATACATAAATCTAGCACTTCTTTAGAGATATCTCCTACGATTTAACCATACATCAACTATTCATTCCATTTTCCTTTCTTTCTTCCTTTCTTCAGTCTTGTGATAATACTACCTTTAATACTTTTACAATTCGTTTTAATAGTGTCAACTGTTCAGTGTGTTATTAATTCTTTATACATAAAACATTCACCACCGTTCCTACATCGTGCTTCCTTCTTTTGCATCTTTGACGAAAAACAAAAGCAATCACAGCGTGATAAAGAAAAGAAAACGGATAAGCGTGGCGTTTTTTTTCTTTTCTTTGCTACAGCGACAGATGCGATTGCTCCGGTGAATGAAAAGGAACAAAAAAGAGGGAAAACGACGAGAAATATACACATTATATCGACCGGGTGTCGAATAAACGACGGACGTGTAGTATCGATATTAGAGCGTTAAATATCGTTTATATTACAAAATTCTGTATATCCAGGCTCTCGACGAAAAACAATTCCTTGCGTGTCGGGGGAAAATACAAGCTATATTGTCGTTGATTCGTGATTCCCGGGGTTAACTTTACATTTGTTCAATGAACATTTAATATCCGAACGGTGAATGCTCATTACCGTTCCATCTTTTTGATTCTGAATACTGATTTGATTATCCGCTAATAACATGTATACGTGAAACAAGAGAATAATCCGCTTTAATATATCTCAATGGCGAAAACATTCGATATCTATCTCTCTCTCTCCCCCTTTCCTCTCTATCTCTTTGCATTCTTAATACAGCGTATAACATCCTAGCATTGCTATTATTGCGTTCAGTATCACTGCATTGCGTAATTATACCGTTATCGAGCAGCGCGGGAATTTTGCAGAACTCCATTTAATCCTCGGTGCAAGATTGTTGCTCGCTTTACTGCACGCTCGGCACAATTCTTCGAGTTGTTCGTTACAAGATGAGCGTGAAATGAAGAGATAATTAAACGCAGAGGAGATTCGCAGTCGCAGCTAGCGTATTTGTATTCTTTCTTCTTTCCTTTTCCTTCTTCGTTCTCCAACGACGATCAAAAGAAACACCGCAAGCTGTGCAGACGTAAAATATAGGCCGAACTAGTTCAATTCCCCTTCGATACGTCGTACCAGCTATCTCGCTTAAACGTACTACGTTTATAAATAGTTTTATTATCAAAAAGATCCTGCACCGTCGAAGTAAAAATAAATATTCTTCGTTCCTCTTCTCTTTTTCTCTCTTTCGCTCGCTCTCTTTTTCTCTCTTTTTTTTTGTCGTTTTCTTTTTGGTAAAGAATTCTATAGACATATACATATAGACGTTCTTCGCGCGCATACGAAATCGACGTAGCTACAAGTCTTAAGTACGAATAGAAAATATCTTAAGTACGTTTGCTACGATTACGAATATATAAAAAAAAAAAAAAACGTAAAAAAGTATAAAACGAGAAATATAAATCTAGTAGGAAATGATTATCGAATCGAACGTATACGAACACGTAAGAAATTGGGAACGTATAGATAAGAAAAGATTATAGATAATGAACAGGTCTGCCCAGGGACCGTAAAAATTCAATAAAAATAACTCGAGCTTTATATCCGTTCACGTATCCTTAGGACTTATTTAAAGATAGATCTCGTTTATAATCTATACATAGTGCCATCTTTGATTGCCCAGAGACTACGATATCCACCATTATATATCTCGTTTAAAAAGAAGACCATTTGACGGCTATATTTTAATCGTTATCTTAGCCTTTAGAAAATAACTAGTAAAGATTTGAGAAACCCTGTGAACGCTATGCAACTGACTACTTTCATTGCATTTTTTTCTTTTCTTTCTTTCTTTCATCGTTCTTCCGCTCTTCTTCTTCATCTTCTTCTTTCCCTTTCTTTCTTTTTGGTAGTATATTTTAGAATGCAAACCGATGGTGTTTACGAGTTATTAACCAGTATAAACACAGAGTCTGTCTAAATCGCATTCCTCCGGTTTAACCGCTGTACAATACCCTATCATAGAAGTATACTCATATAAAATAAAAAATATCCAAAAAACGATATACTCATATAAAGTATACGATACACACACTTCTTTTTTCTTCCTCTTCTCTCATTTTTCTTTTTTTTTTCTTTTATCCTAGGGCAGGATTCTTACTATACAAACTATTACAGTTTCTTATTGAGCATATTTTAGAAATTGTTTGAGTCGTTGTAGGAAGTGTTCAATTAATATTGACTTCATTTCAACTATACGCTAGAACCTAGAATCTTTCTTTCTCTCTCTCTCTCTCTTTCTCTCTCTTCCACAAAAAATTCCCTGAACTCCAGTTAGGTTCTTTTGATTGTGCGGATTCGCTTTGTAAGAAGACATCGTAAAAAGACGTAAAGGAAATTAGAAAGATAACCGTCCTAAATAGAATCTCTTACTCTCTGGTTCCTGAACCTTGGACCGTTTGAAAGATGACCTGTTTTCCTCTTTCTTCCGGTTCGACGACGGAATGCACGTTTCTCCACGCCATTCATTATTGGCCTCGGTACTAGATACCCGCGTATAGTGTAAAACGGTCACGATGCCCCGATTATAATTTCTACCATGAATACTCTTATTGATTTTGTTTGGAATTCCTAGGAACTTCAAGTTTTCCGCTCTCTTCCCAAACAATGTTGCTACGTTCAAGCTTCCTGTGAACAAACGTAAAACAAAGAAATATATATACATAAATTTTCACGTACAATTCCTAAAATCGTAATAGACATTTTAATTTCATTGTCTACGGTACTCACATCGGGAAACAAAAAGTGTTCACGAGTAGGTTGTGGCTGTTCAAAGGGAGAGCTACTCATGTATCCAGGCGAGGGGGACTCGCTTTTCTCGAGCACCGGGGTAATATTCGCGTAATTGGCGGATGGTGTAGTCAACGTTCTTCCTACGTGGACGAAGCGTCGTTGCCACTGCTCTGCCACCCAGTCTGCAAAAGAAACCAAGCAGAAAAAAAAGATTAAGCATTCTTCTTCGTCTTAATGACCTCTTCTTCTATGCTCAGTCGGGGTTGTCTTCTTCACCGAGTACAGAGGGCGGAGTACAAGGAGCTTTAAGAAAACGCCAGTTAAATTCTTCTCGCTAATACTTTACCTCAAACTGTCTGGCGTATCAGACGACGAATGAGAGGACAACGACAACGTCTCGATGTAGTCAGACATGTCGGATGTACCGCTGCTTGTGCTACGCGAATCGATGTAAGGTGCACTGGACACTTCTCCCGGACTATTGAACCCTTTCGTAGCTTTCGGCAAACACGTTGGAATGTCAGCTTCCGCTGAAGAGGATTTCGTGGGGATTTTGATTTTCTGAAATTGAAACGACAACTCCCGGAGCGGATCGCTGGACTTAGACTTCCTTGGTAAACTGCTGTGGTAACAAGTGGGCGGTGGACTCTTCCTGTAAACGGACAATACGTTCTGTTTCCTCGTGGAAGTCGACGGAGTCAACGACAATTCGAACTCCACGAATTCCGCTGTTCTGTGACTAAGAGATCCAGTTGAAACGCCTGAATCGTTACTGCTAGAAGAGTCTCTGTTGTGACCAGTTTTAGATGGCACTGAAGACGAACGTCGAATCTTGATAAACGACGGCTGAGGAGAGACTATCTGCCCGTTGTCCTGGCTGATTTTAATCTCTGCATTGACACAGGGAGAATGCGTTTCTCCTCTGACTAAAGATGCTTTGTCCGCCTCGCTGGAACACTTGTGAATGGTGAGAGTCGAAGGAAAAGTGTGATTCTCATCATCCAGATAATGTGCAGACTCTGCGGAGTAGGACCGTTTTCTTAGAAGCATACTAATGTTACCATTAGATTCTGCTCCACCGTTTCCATCCAGGTAACGACGTCTAAGATAAGGACTGGACAACATCGCTGAACCTGGAACACGAAACTCAGAGTCTGATCGTTTCTTGCCACTTTCTGACAATGCTGAGCCTGACAATGCAGGATTACTCGAGCTTTTTATACCGCTGCAAATTCTCGATAGAATTTCCTTCGAACAAGCATTATGAGCTGGTTGCATCGGTAGATAGCCAGGGAATGGTTTCTTTGGCATTTGCTTCTCAGGATCCATAATTAAATAATCGTTCTCCCTGTCCTTAATGTGGCCACACTTTTGACAAATCTTGGACGAATCTTCTGTGGGCGGTTCAGGAGTGGTTACGTCTTTAATTTGGTCGGAAAACTTTTCTATCTCCTCCTGGGATATTCCACTCTTCGCTAACAGATCTTTGCTGTTTTCATAATGTTCCAGGGATTGAGTGAAGTCGATATTCGCGTAATTGGTTTGCTTCGACTCAGGTTGCGTGTCGATAACAGGTTCAACGTTCTCGTAATTGTTGGTTCCAGTTTCAAGACACTCGCAGTTGTCTTTATTCTTCTCTTCGACGTTCTCCGATTTATTGACCCGTTTAGTCGTCGCGTAGATTGCTATTTCTCCACTTGCATTCACCACAGGCATCTTTCCCTCTCCGGAAAGTTTCACCGGATGAACAGCCACACCGGTGGGTTCAATTCCTGCTCCTCGTCTACAATATGGCAGTACAAAACCAGCCCAGCTCATCACGTTCTGGCAGGGACATCCTGAGGACCTGGGGGACTGAACGGTGAGCTTGGCCGGGCAACCACATTGTTGCAACACCACAGCTTGCGGAGTCTGTGGTGTATCGTAATTAGGATAGCTTTTTGGCAGTGCTAGGCATTCTTTGATTTTCCTTGGCGTATCGTAATACTGATCCGGTTGGGAACTCTGTTCCAACAACATATGATGCCCCAAGATCGTCTTGGGTATGTCGTAATTCTCGTATGGACCGGCGATAGCGGTCGTGTTACGTGTGATCAATTGCTGTTTACGCGAGTGCACGCAGGCTTGTTCATTTGGCAGTGGCATAGGAGGTTTCTTCACCTTCTTCGTGGCAGTGCTTTGGGACGGTTTCGGAGGTCTCGGTGGCAACGCGTTAGGACTCGGTGACACACGTTGAACACTCGTCTGCGGATGTGTGTTCTTCGAATTTTGCGAACAGTGACACTCTACTTGTTGAGAGCTGGAATAGTCGCTATCGTGGCTGCTACTACTGTACGAAGACAACGATAACCGATCGAGAGTGCGTGGCTGCAAATGGCAACCTAGATTGTTCATAGTTCCCGCTGGGCTGCTTATACTGCTAGCGCCTGTCGTCGTAACCAGAGTAGAGGATTTAGAAACGGTGCCTAGTTTGCTGATACAGCTAGCGCAACGCTCGAGAGCGGATGTTCCTTGACGAGTGAGGGAACAGCTGCGCCATTCCCCTGGTTGATCAGGCAGCTCCGACACGGAGACGGTGTCTCTGCTGCTGTAATCCCTGTCGAGTTCAGTTTGCTGTCTACTCTCGGTGGACGACCAATAGGGCGAGCTCTCGTTCTTGCAGCTGTCGCACTGCTCCTCGTATGCGGACGAGTAAACAGCCGAGGGGAAAAAATCGCTGGCCCTTGTTTCTGAACGAGAGAATTGACGACGTGGGCTCTCCTGCATTATCTGCTCTCTGCTAACCGGTCGTTTTTTCGTCAGCTTCCCTTCAGCCGCTAATTGCAGCATCTTCACGATATCTTCGCCCTGGTCCGTTATCAGCACATGAAGACCCTCCCCTCGACCGCAACTTGAGCCTCCCTCGAAGCAGAATCGTCCTTCCACCACACCGTAGCGACGTAGATGTCCGATCTCCCAAATACCAACTAATCTGGGAGGAATCCCGACGGTAATGCAGAAACGACGATCCTGGATGTGCAAGTGTGCGGGTCCATTGGTCACTTTCGCTTTCGATGGCACCGTGGAGATCAGTATCAGGAACTGTTGATCTGGAGGAATAAAATGGGGATAGATTGAGATATTTTTTTGAGAATTTTGTTTCTTTAAATAAATATTCATACCTTCGCCTAAATTGTTGGAGATCTTCACTTGCCATTGTATCAATCGTTCTCTGGTGTCGAATGCCAAAACGACCGTCACATCCTGGCATATTATAGCTATAGTATTGGATTCCTTGTCGAGAGTGAAACCGCTTTCCACGCCGAGAAAATGTTGCAAGCTTAACGAAGCTTTCGTTTGACCTTGCTTGTATCGATCCTTACTGTCTCCGTAAAGTTGCAAATGAAGACAATCTGCAATCGAATGCAAACGCCTTTTTTCTTTAAACAATCGTGAATCGAAGTTCGGAAAAATTATTCATTAGGTGTTGTTTTTAATAAATAGTTCACACGCTAAGTGATCCGGGGATCGCTATTAATACAGTTACACGGATGTAAGAAGGCACTAAATCTAGTTAGACCCTTCTATGTACTTCCAACTAATTCTCCCTAAAGAAAATTTATGAGCTACTGGTGTCCCTAAGTTCTAAAATATCCTCAAGTTACAAGGGCCAGGTATTAATGGTTATTGCCAGAAGCAAAGCTCTTCTTGGAAATTTTTTGTTTCTCCAGCCAGTCAATCTGTTACAGATGTGCCAGCTGCCACCCTAGCTGACAGGGTCATAGGGAGGGATTCCTTTATGCTGATAACAAGTAAGGAAATTCTTTTAGGAGATAGGATTAGGAATGTGTGGTGTAGGAAATAGAATTGTCATTGCCTCTTTGGGCTGCCAGTTTGCAACATCTGCCCTGTCTTGCACACAGATGTGTTCCTCAACATTGCCCTCTTTTATCAGCACTGATAAGATTAAATGGGCTCATTTTTAAGGTGCATAAGAATGGTTCATTGTGAAGAATGTACACACACACACACACAATTGTTTGATACACACACAAACTTTGATATCTTTGATATGCAATGGGCTCATTTTTAAGGTGCATAAGAATGGTTCATTGTGAAGAATGTACACACACACACACACACAATTGTTTGATACACACACAAACTTTGATATGCATCAGAGGAGATGTGTGAAATATGCTACATTTCCTGTCTACTATCTACACTTGATTTCACATGTTATGTCTACCAGACAAAGTGGTCCTTGTAAAGTGCATACTGTTACTGTGATAAATAATTCATTCTTCAAACAACTAAATTAAATTAATTAAAACATCAATTTTACCTGCAACTGGTGACAATTTCCTCATGACACACCATCTTGATTTCCACTGCAATGCAAACAAATTTGCTTGAATAAACATGAGACACTTTTCAGGACTTCAATGTAGTATTTTATTTTTACTCTATTACAATGATAATACTAAAAGTGTTCTTTACAATATTTGCCAGCAATAACAAATAGTACAACAGGCTTTTTTTTTTTTTTGCCATACATAATGTGTGATGCATTATGTTAGATATTTACATAGACTTATTATGCAAGGAAACAGTATACATATGTAATGCACATTTGTTTGAATCCATTTAGACCCCTCTTCACCCCTGTGATAAAAATAAAAGAGTTTCCTACCCTTTCTCATCTGAATGACTTCTTTGGTGCCCCAATGTAAATAAAAGAAAATGAGCTAGCTTTTTTTTTATGGCTTTATGACTCCTCATTTCTTTCACATTAAATACTTCCTTGGACCTTTCAACAGGCTACTTAATAATTGTAATGTTCATTGAACTCACATCAGGACACCTTAATTTAACTCTTTGCCCATGACAAATAAGAACATAGTATTGTATTGGTAAATTCAATGGTGGTCAAGGAAAGAAATATTTGATATTGACATAGATTCATCATACACATTCAAGCTTCCAATTATTTGTGAAGCACAGTGCTAATGAATGTTTAAGTATGCATCAAAAGCAGTAATTAAAAGCATCAAACTGCAGAATTTTAAAGCAGTAGTTTTAGAGTACTTCAAAATAAAAGTACCAGTGCAATTAAAACGTACATATAAGCACATTACATTTTTATTTTTATTTTTGTTTATGATATCAGAATTTTTTTTAACATATATTCGAGCTTGTAACGCGTGTACGTGTGTAACAACAAAATTTACAGCAGCAAACTCATATTGTTCCAGTTTCAATTTTCACGTTCTTCATAGATTCAATGAATGCTCTCTCATATATGCATACTTTACATAGAATATACGAGTGTAGAACAAGCGCGTTAGCGCAAGATCCTTACATCATTATATAATTTTCTCTCTCTTTTTTATCGTAATCGTACCATGCTGAAGCAACTGTCTTAATTAAACACGAACACGATTTCCGATTGAATTCCGACTCACCGGAACAATTTTCTTCGCGAAAAATGCAAACGAGTGGCATGCGACGATGTTTTAGCATTGGACAAATTCATGAGATAAATTAAGTCGTGTTATTTTAACCGATAATGAATTAAGCAATTATCCCTTGTGCATTAATTGGATAGCTGGATCATGAACGAAGAAAGGTAACTGTAATTAAGAGGAAATCGGGTCGAAATGTACTCACCTTTTTACCGTCGCGAAATTTGACATTTCCCTCGATAATACAATTGTTATCCACCATTGTAGAAGGCCGCTACTACCGCACTGCTTTTAGGTGTTTTTCTCATCACTATGTAAAAGCACTCCGTTTACTTAACGCTGCATACCGAGACACCATAGAACACCTTCGAACACCGTGAACAACGATATCTCCCGACGCACAATCTCTTTCTCACTGAACAACAACGACGACTCTCGCTCACGAATCACGCGGCAAAATCCATACTCCGTACCGACGGCACCGAGCATCCATCTTGACAATCTTGGCTTGCTGCGTGCACTGCTGCGGTCCTGCTCCCTTTCGAAAGCGTATTCTGCACATTATCCATTCCCCTGCACTTTGGTCCAGTGGCGTAGACCTACGTTTTTTACTTCGACAAACTTTCTCCGCAAGCGCCACTGTGCAACCGATGGTACCGTTTACAATGAGCGCGCGCATAGCTTTCCCGCCATCCGTTTAAACTTTCGATACATTATATCGATAATGTTGTTTATGGAATAATAAAACTACGCAGAACCTAAAATATTTTTGTATTGTCTGTTGGATTACATTTTGGGACATAGGATTTGGACGCATTGAAATGATAACACCATTTTTCATTCTGTTTCTCTTGTCATTTATTTGCTTTTCATATATGTACATTAAATTTGACAACCAGTTGATATAATTAGGTAGATTTTCGTAAAAAAGATTGTTTGAAATCGTAACAGTTTTGAATTTTGCGCATAACGTGTTTTCTATTGGTGGCGCTTGCGATGCAAGACATGGTTCGTCTATCTAGTATGTGATAGTTTATGGTTTATGGAATTGCCATGTGTCCGAAGGAAAAGTTGACCTATCGATAGCTGAGTTTTGATTTGTTCACTATGAAAACACCGGTATTGTCGAAACAACAGCAAAGACAATCTTTGTCAGCGAAAAAATCACAAAATAAAGGATTGCGAAATGTCTTAGCTCAACCTCAAGATAATTTTTGGTACAGTGTACTTCCGTTTCTGCGTAATACTACTATTTCTTACATTGTTTAATTAATAACTTTATTTCTAAACATATTGTCTTACAAATATTTATGTTTCTACATGTAACAACTGTGTACATTTGTTAGGCCAATTGTAGATGCAGAAAAATGTCCAATTTTGGAAGAACTTTTAAACAAGTAAGTTCGAAATATGTAATGAATGATAGGTATTAATAGGAAGTGGTATATTTTATTATTTATATTTCAAGATTAATGCCAGCTATAAAACGTCCATCTAATTCAATACCATGGTCTCAACTTAGACATATGAAAAAAGAGGAACGTGCTCAAGCTAAAAAGGAAGCCCTTGGGAAGGAAGAAAATGTTCCTAATCCAGAGATGGTGTAAATATTTTGGATTACATTAATGCATATCTACTTGATTTATGTATATTTTTTAATACTTGAACTTTTAGAACTTCTATTATTTTGGGTATAAATGCAATCACAAGGTCATTAGAGAAGGAAAATGTTTGCTGTATTTTAATGGATGCAAACATTGATCCACATCTTCTAGTAAAACATATTATACACATGGCACAGAATAAAAAAGTACCAATACTGATGTTTCCTAAACTAAAGACTGTAACACTAAATACAATAGGATTTGCAACTGCTGCATGTGCCTTAAAGGTACAATTATTTAATATCTAAATAATATGCTGTTTTTTTGTTTTATTTCTGCAATTTTTGTTTCAGAATCTTGTGATGGATTCTCCAGACCATCATTTTCATCCATTATACATGACAATATATGATATTTTTAAAGACATACCCTTACCAAAAAATACATTGCAATTATTTAAAGATATTGAATCATCAGAACAGACTATATTGTATAAAGAAGACAAAATAAGTATTGAGGATGAATCTGAGATTGCTCCTTCAGAGCCAGTTAAATTTACTTTATCTACAAATGTATATATGTACAGATCTTCGTGTAAAGAAAGAGCTTTTGTTCCACCCAGTGCAACAGAAGGTTCTACAAGTGAACCTATCATAGAAAAAATGGAACATGAAGATTTTATTTCTATAAGTAAATATAGTACTGACGAGTATGATAGAAGTATTAAGAAAGGTACACGATATACGAATGCCAATGAATCCAAAAACTCGAAAAAACGGGGAAACAACGTAAACAAAACATCGACGAATGTTACGTATTTACCGCTGAAAGTCAAACGTTTACAGGGTAATGCAAATCGCGTAAAAGCAACGAAAATTTCAAAAACAAAAGAAAAAATAGTAAAAAAATCAATAGCAAAATATACTTCATAAATGTGTGATCAGAATTTTTTATACACATATATATATACATTATATACAAAAATTGTATCTTTTGTATAACCTATTTATATTAACTTCAACTTTTTATTTCTTATAACAGAAATGTTATTACTAATTTATTCTGTTTTAGATGTACATGAATGTGTTACATGTATAACAAAGTCTGATTATGTACTAGATAAAATGTGAAAATTAAAGATACAATATTGATTTCATACAAATGTATTTAATACCTAGGTAACTGTAATATCATACAGGTAATGTAGAATTTACTGAAGACTTGAACATTCTTGTAAAAAACATCAAACCTGTAGTTCCTCCTGGTATATGACTCACTAAGAACGATAGCATAGCTATTAATTGCAATACAGCACAGAATACTGTTAGTGGTGTAGACTGTAAATGCAAGGCAAAATAAAGCGTTCCTATCAAAGTTGCAAAGTAGGACACAGTAAAACACCTTCTTTCAGCAGTGAACAATGATTTCAAGTAACTTAATGGGCCCAAAAGGAAGCAAAAACTACGAAAATATATTTAATATTAATGCTGTTATATCTTTTCAAATTATTTCAATATTTTCAAGCTTACCTTGATAGGAAGAAAACGCTTCCTAAAGTGTAGAGAAGAGCGAACTTTCTTGCTTTGAGTAGTAAAACCGGAATATAAACCGCCGACAGACAGAAACAAAGTATACCCATGGAAAAGCATACAACAAACGCTATTAACCTTTGTATTCGTGTCTGTCAGAAATAAACAATATTTGTGGATTTTTTATGACGGTTTTTTTCAGATCATTCAACAGTCGAGGTTATGCTGCGAACTATGTACGTACCATACTAGGACAACACTCCTTTTGTGCTCCTTGGATCCATCCTGTTTCTTCCTCCTCACTTTTTCCGAACCATTTTCCAATATTTGTTTTCGGTAGTGCCACCGAAGGCACGGTGATTTTAAATTGTTTCTCATTTTTACTGCTAAGAAGGTATTCATTTAGTTCTTTGTTGAGATCGGCCATTTTGACACGTCGCCATACTTTATGTTTATACGTTTATGAATACGAATCACGACGAACAATAATTGCGTCTTAAAAGTTATTTTTACATTATATTGTTTTCCAGACACTATTGTGATACCTGACAGATAAATGGTAACTTTGTATTGCTATGACAAGCAATAACAGCACTATTTATCTGTATTGTCCGGCAAAGCAATCTGTTGGTTTCTGACGTCATCGCCTGACCAGATGAACGGAAAATAGGCGGTTAGGCTTTCCCCACTACTCTTCGATCTTACACTGCCGTCGTTTAAGGGGAAGTTGCGATGTGAGTAAATGGTTTGGACAAATGCTTTTCAATCAGCTGTCGACAATGTGAAACGTTGATATAATTTTGCAACAATGTGCAATTTTCGGGAGCGACTTTCGGCAACAAAGTTGCAACTCTCCTAAATAATGATTTAGATGGTAGTTTATCATTATTGGAAGTCTTAAATAGAATTATTGCATGCTTTAACCTAATAAAATAGCTTAAATTGGTAATTTCGTGTTGAATTAACAATTGCATGCAGCAGGCATTTTACATTTAACATTTATTATAAATATTTCATTCGGTTAACATTACTTGTAGCGAGTAGATAGTGAAATAAAGCTTAAACTTTACTTTCAAGTATTTTAATTGTAGAATAACTAGTGTTTCTTGCTAAATAACAATTTAGATGGTTGTTTATAACTGTTGCAAGTGTTAAATAAAATTATTGTAAGCTTTACCTTAATAGAACTGCTTAACATGTTAATTTCGCACTGAATTAACCATTGAATTCGGTAGATTCGTCGGAAATTGTTTATAACTTTTATTAACAATTAGTAAAATTAATGTTTTTCTTGTATAAATTACAGGTGGAACTTCCAGAGCACCATCAGAAGCAAGGAAAGGTCTTGAACATCAGGAGAAACGAAGAAATGCAATTAATTATGAAAATATCAATTGTTTATTGTAAAATTATTGTGCAAAATGTATATTACAAAAGGTTACAATATACCAGTATTGTTTTACAGCATTTTACAGTCTATTTACTCCTCCTTTGCGTACCAAATTCACTTCCTTTTACAAAAAACCCTATTGTTTAAACAATATTCCATTGCAAAATTGAATAAACTAATGCCAGAAACCACCAGGAATGCGTAATCATCGAAAAATTCGAAAAAATCCCGAAATTCTAGCGTAAACTACGGAAATTACGGAAATATTTCGAAAATCGCGCGAATATACTCGTTCGGTGCTAGAGTCCCCGAGAATTCCTGGAAATCACGTCATTTCTCGGAAATGACGAAAATTCCAAGAATCGACGCGATTCCAAGAATTGACCAATGGCCCTTTGAATATTTCGGTCCTCGAGAATTCCTGGAATTTGGTCAGTTCCGAGAATCGAGTCACTTCCAGGAAGTGACCTCCTGTCATATCATGTTCGCCTATTAGAAAGTCGATTTTCAGCCAAAGGGTCTTCGAAAATTTCAGTTCTCGAGAATTCTTGGAAAGCACGTCATTTCTCGGAAATGACCAAAATTCCAAGAATCGAGTCACTTCCAGGAAGCGACCTCCTGTCACATCATGTTCGCCTATTAGAAAGTCGATTTTCGGCCAAAAATTTTCGAAAATCGAAAATCCTGACTTTGTATTAGGCGAATATGATATGACAGGAGGTCGATTCTTGGAAATCACGTCATTTCCGAGAAATGACGAAAATTCCAGGAATTCTCGAGAACTGAAATTTTCGAGGACCCTTCAAAAGGAAGTGAATTTGGTACGCAAAGGAGAAGTAAATAGACGGTAAAATGCTGTGAAACAATGCTGGTATATTGTAACCTTTTGTAATATACATTTTGCACAATAATTTTACAATAAACAATTGATATTTTCATAATTAATTGCATTTCTTCGTTTCTCCTGATGTTCAAGACCTTTCCTTGCATCTGATGGTGCTCTGTAAGGTCCACCTGTAATTTATACAAGAAAAACATTAATTCAAGGCAACAAAGTTGCAAAAGAAAAATCGCGCTTGCAACTTTGTTGTCTGAAGACGCTCCCGAAAATTGCACATTGTTGCAAAACGGCGCGTCGTGCAACTATGTGTAATTTTCGGGACAACAAAGTTGAAAACCCGATAACGCGTTTGCAACAATGTGCAATTTTCGGGGGCGATTCGCAGCAACAAAGTTGCAAATCCAGAACGCGTTTGCAACATTGTGCATTCGAAAATAATAGGAGTTAACGATGTTACAAGCGAGAATGACGTAGTGCTTGTATTAATGTTTGCGTTCGAAATAACGTTTCTAATAATGTTGTAATCTGAAATAGAGATTCCAACAATGTTTGCATTCAAATATAACGCTTCAAGCAATGTTGCATTCAAAAGTAACACGTACAGCAATGTTTTGCATTCGTAATAGTGCTTCCATCGATGTTGCATTCGAGAATGGAGACTGCAACAATGTGTGCATAAAAGTTTCAAAGATGAACAGTGACATAAAAGTATCTTGCCACTTAAAAATCACCGTTCAACGATATAAAAGTTCTTTTCCTGCTACTGCAACCGTGTCCCACACCTCGATCAATTTGCAATCTCAACTCACACGAGAACGAAGGCTCCGCGCAAACAAAACGTCATTATACATTTTCAACATACTTCTCCGCCCCTATAAATAACCCCTCTATATAGTCTATCGAATTCAACTGTTAATTCCATGCGAAATTAACTAATTCAGATGTTTTATTGAGTTGAGGTATGTATCAATTTTATTTAAGATTTCCAATAATTATAAACTACCATCCAACTGGATATTTAACAAGAAACAGTGATTATTCTACAATTATAGTACTTGAAAATAAGCGAGAAACTGTACGTTAGTATCTACATTATTAGTAATGTTAAAGCAATTAAATATTGACCAGAAATATCAATGAAATATATATACAATAGCGGTAGAGAAGAATAGCACTAGAGCAATGAGTTAGACAAGGAAAGATAAAGGGATAGACAAGGACAGAAGAAAATGGCGGGCGCGACTCCATCTCGCGTCTGGTGACGCGAACTACGATTTCATAATAGGATAACAGAATATAAACAGAGGTATTAGACAAGGATAGCACCAGTGTGCGACAAGGATAGAGAGAGAACGCTTCCTATTGGTCCGCGGGCCACCGAGCTCCACCTATCAGGCCCCAGATTAAGTCGATCGATGAAAAATCGTTAATAACTCATTTAATTAGGATGATTTCGTGAACTTTTATAATTGAAGAATGAAGCATGGACATTCAGCAACTTTCACATATAGTTTTTAGTGCTCCAAACCCTTTCAGTAATTAGTTATTAACAATTTTAGTACGGGATGTCGGGAACGATACCGCACACCGTCAAGTACCTTTATGGTTTTTCAATAATTTCACAGCTTTCTGCTAAATTCTCGTACAACTATCTGGATGCAACTGAAAGGTAACTCCTTTGGTTATATTCTCATATAATTTTTATTAACATATTCAGTTTAGTTTAGGAGTTATTAAACATTATATGGGAGCGTCCCCAATTCATCGTACTCGAGTATATCCGACTGTTATGAACAATTGTTAATATCTAATAAACCACATCACTTATGGCTACCAAACTAATTGCAGAATATAGATAAAAGTCCATTCTACATTCTGCATGCCTTAAGGTGTATAATTAGTCACTCATTTCTATTGAAATAACGAAAATATGTTACTATTGAATGCAGCTTATACAATCGAGTGTAACACCTTCACGGTTTTTCAATAATTTTATAGTTTTCCACTAAATTCTCGTGCAACTAGCTATACGCATCTGAAAGGCAACTCCTTTGGCTATATTCTTATATAATTTTTATTAACATATTAGGTTTAGTTTAGGAGTTATTAAATATTATATAGGAGCGTCCCCTATTCATCGTACTCAAGTATACCTGACTGTTATAAACAATTGCTAATATCTAACAAACCACAACACTTACGGCAACAAAAATTATTGTAGAATATAGATAAAGGCCTGTACTATATTCTCCATGCCTAAAGGTGCATAATTAATCATGCTTTTTGATGAAATTGACGGAAATGTGTTACGCTTGAATACGACGAGTGTTGTACTTACCCAAATAATGTTTAATATCTCGCAAAAGACGACAGATATGTTAAAAAAATTTATACGAGAAACTAGCTAAAGGAATCCTCTTTCGAACTCATGTACGAAAATGTATATGTTATTTGTACAAAGCTACGAAATTATTGAAAAACTGGAAAGGTGTGCAGTATCGCTGCCGACGCTCTGCACAATAATTGTTAATAACTAATTATTGAAAGGTTTTAGAGCACTAGAAACTATATGTGAAAGTTGCTAAAGGTCCACACTTCATTCTTAAATTCCAAAAGTTCACAGAATCTTCGTAATTATTGAGTTATTAATGATTTTTCACCGACCCACGTGGCTGAGGCCCAGGGAGGCGGAGCTCAGCGGCCTGCCAGCCAATGGGAAGCATTTTCTCTCTATCCTTGTCGCACACTAGTGCTTTCCTTGTCTAATACCGCTGTTTATATTCTGTTATCCTATTAAGAAATCGTAGTTCTCGTCACCAGACGCGAGATGGAGTCAGTCACGCCCGCCATTTTCTTCTGTCCTTGTCTATCCCTATATCTTTCCTTGTCTAACTCATTGCTCTAGTGCTATCCTTCTCACCCCCTATTTCTTTCCTTGGCTAATTCATACCTCTAATGTAATCCCTGTCTTTCGCTATTCGTATTTAATTTAATAAAATAGCTTAATATATTAATTTCGTATTGAATTAACCATTACATTCGGCAGATTAGTCAGAAATTATTTATGACTGTTATAAAAAATTAAAAAAATTAAGTGAGTTACAGAAGGTCCTCCTATGACACCATAGAAATCAAGGAAGAGAGTGGAACATCCGGAATAATGAAGAAATGCAATTATTTATTAAAAAATTAATTATTTATCGCAAAATAAGT